ATACCTAGTCAGGTCATAAATTCTGTCACATGTTTAATATAAAATAATTGAAACAAGTTTATTCATTATGTAACCATTTATATACCAAAATGAACTTAACAAAACATGGATTCTTATGACACTAAAGTTTATTCAAAATGACCTCCGTGATTTTGAATACAGGCCTTTAATCTGCGCGGCCAGTCGTCTATCGCAGCACGAATGAGGTCCATGTCAATATCGGCGGCTGCCTTAATCAAGAATGCCTTGAGTGACTCCAAATTGGGATGTGGCTTTGAGCACGCCTTTTCCTCCAAGTGTTGCCATATCTTATAATCTAACGGATTGAAATCTGGACTGGAGGAGGGCCAGTCTTCGTGCCGGATGAAGTCGATTTCACGCGCCGCCAGCCAGTCTTGTGTGCTCTTCGCTCTATGAACTGGCGCCGAATCTTGTTGGAATATCCAGTGTCTGTTTTTGAACATGGTATGAGAAACAGGTTCCACAAGGTTCGTCAGGACTGTATTTTGATACACAACTGCATTCGTTTTTGCACCTTTCTCACAAAAATGTACCTCTGTTAAGCCCCAATAAGAAACTCCCAACCATACCATGAGCGAGGATGGAAAATGATCTCGTTGGACACGCGGTATACGGTTGCTCGCTTCTTCACTACTGTGTGCGTACACCTTATCATTTTGTTTGTTGTAGCTCTCTTCTACGGTAAAAATTTTTTCATACGAAAAAAGAATTTCCCGATATTTTTTTCCCGCGTACCGCTTCAACAAACCGCGGCATCTCTTCAGTCTCAGGTCCATTAGACGAGCATTCAAACGATGTCCTGTTTTTCTTCGATATGCCCATAGCCCTAAGTCTTCATTTAACACCCTTTTCACCGTGGTTCTGCTTAACCCCATCTGAAGGGCCAACAGTGGTACGACTTTCCATTGACGTCAGTGGAGTTTGGTGTTGATACGTATTTTACAGATTTACATTATAAATAGAAACATTAAAAAAATATAGACATTTTAGAAATCGATTTTTTGTGAACCGATACATCAGCTTACGATTTGAATCGATTTAAAAATCGACCTTTTTCGGAAAGAATCGACATCCCTATTGACGTCCACAATGACATTACAAAATGGCGCCAGTTTATTAGCAAATTAGACGTAAACATTGCAAGAATAATTGATTTTCAATTATTCTTTTCTCAAAAATTACGCGTTTCCGTATATTCAGACATTGTGTGTGTGCTTATAATAGTGTAATCTTTCTGTAAAAATAGGTATCAACACCAAACTCCACTGACGTCAATGGAAAGCTAAGCCCCAACAGTTTCTGCTTACGTTTGGGATTTCTTTGAATTCGCGCCTTCACAGCTTTTATCACTGCTGGAGTCCTAACAGACCGAGGGCGACCACTTCTTGACCTGTCATCTACACTAGAGTCTTCATTGTATCGTTTGATGGTACGATAAACGAATCTTTTGGTTATATTCAAATTTCAAAAATTAGTAGTCAAAAATTTGAATTGGCGCGTAACCGCAACGATGCAACGCAATAACTGCAACACTGTCTTCTTTAAGCATCCACTCCATATTTAAAAATAAGTAAAATTCTAAAAAGTATACAGATTTATTTTCATGAACAATTCGAAATTCGAATTCAATAAACTTTTTTGTGGCCAGCATTCTAAAAGAAAAGTTTTTACTGTGTGACAATACTTATGACCTGACTAGGTATGTACTACGCATTAGATTTCGCATTCCGAACATTCACTGTGTTCAACTGAACTGTACTGCAATCCGTACACCTTACGAGTACTTTAGTGTCATTTAGTGTGGCTTCAATATTCATGCAGTGTGAATCGGCGCTAATAATGCGAGATTTCAAACTAAAGTTTAAACCAGGATGTAAATAATAATTCAGTGGTCAAGTAAGTAAAATTATTTGTTGTTCAAATGAATATAATATAGGTAATAATATATCCACTGCGCATGCGCGGCTCTACTATCTCCTGCGCATGCGCGAAGACATAGAGTAGCGCACAATTTTTGTTTGGATTAGCTTCTCTAGTACGTAGTACATATAACTCAATGTATGAAGGTGATATCTACCCAGACAGACACCTGGGCAGAAGAGAACTCCTATCACCTATTTTATCAAAAATTTTCCCCTGCATAATTAAATGCTTTTGAAGCTTAGAGTCATCATTTGTAGTTTGTTGCAGCATTATTGAACACGGTTCATGGTCGTAATAAACATAATTAATTATAAAGTTTGAGACGACGGCGGTTAATAATAGCAAATGGTCTTTTGCTCTTTTAGACCACATATGCCTTTTTCATTAAAACTAGCGCAAAAACGTTTTTTCTACACTTTTTCTTTAAAACCTCGACTAATAAGTACTATAAGTTTGCGTGATTAATTCTGCCGCCCAATGATGACTGTATATTCAAGACACTGAACTGAATCTCGAAGTGAGTCCCCGGTCTTAGGGTCGATTACACGCAGGAACTATTGTAGATTTTATGCAAAAAAAAACAGGTGAACGTAAAGAAAGATAATGTCTCTGTTTGTGTGTACTTTTATAATGCTATTTAGTAAGTTTAACACTGAACGGTAGTTTTTTCGTTAGTCGACTTTGTTGCAGCGCACCAACTAATATCTGTCACCTGCGTAAGTTCTCTCGTATATTTTGTTCTTTTCTCCGACATGCCACTGACAAAAACCGGATCTACTTTCGGAGTCTGACTTTGTACTAGAAGGTATATATTTGTAAGAAAGATACAAATAAACATAATACATATTATTTTTGGGGTATCTATAAAGTTTTTTCATCTGGTTGGGCAGTATAAACATATAATTGTAAATTAAAATGGTAAATATACATAAATATTAATAAAATAAAATAAATACATAAAAAATATATAAATATATAAAAAGGCAACCAGATGGAAGCCCTCGGCAGGGGAGACCAGACGGCCGAGGGTTAGGGGGAAAGGGAAAGAAACCGGCGGACGATGCGGGCGGTATCGAGGAGCACCGCCTCCTGCATTTGAACCTGGAGCGGACCGTCACGGAGTCCCAGTCGCCTCAGATGACCCGAGAGGCTGACTGGGATTAACCCGTTCGCAGAAACGACCACAGGAATAATTTCGGTCGGCAGACCACCCCACATGTCGGTCACCTCGTGAGCCAGGTCCAGATATTTTGTCATCTGTTTCGGCTTTCACGAGGTTTTCGTCATAAGGAATGGTAATGTCGACCAAAAATATCCTTGACTGTGCCCGGTCCATCAGCACAATATCAGGCTTATTCGCAAGAATAGTCCTGTCAGTGATGATGGCCCGGTCCCAGTAGAGCCTGGCGCGGTCATTTTCGAGCACGGCTTCCGGCAAGTACTTATAATACGGCAGTTACCGATCCACGAGACCGTATTTCAGAGCGAGCTCCTGGTGTAGAATCCTGGCTACTAGATTGTGTCTGTGCAAATACTCAGAGTTAGATAGCGCCGAACAACCGGAGATGACATGCCTAAGTGACTCACCGGGATGGCGACAAGCTCGACAGATGTCGACGGCGCCATCCTTTAGGAATACATACATACATATTATTATTATTATGTTTATACTTACAATTATTTTAAAGACCTGTCAATAAAACCTCGTTCGATGTAGAAAATCGAATCTAAATCGAAATGTTTGCATCCCTGTTTTATTAATATTAAAATGTAGAAGAAGTGATATATTCCTATATTAAAATTGAGATATATTGTTATTGAAACAGATACCTCTAATTTTTATTACGTTCATTAACAGCAGACATCGCAGACAGAACAAATTCCAAAATCTCTAACCTCAAAGGTATTCGTATTTTTAGATCTCACCAATGCTTTTGACACTTTCTCTGCCCGGCTCATTAAAAATAGTTGAGGAATTTATATGAATATAAATTATATTTCCTTTCTTATTATATTGACTGGGTGGTAGGACTAACATTTCTGCCTACTTTTACCACCCTTCTACCTCTTTTATCTTTGCCGCCAAATAGCATTGCGTGCACAACTGTGTACACTACTGGTCTGAAAGGTATAGAAAGCTAGTATAATTACAGGCTGTAAGACATTCTACCTCGGTCCTCAGTCCTCAGAGGTGGCAACGCATCTGTAGCCTTCTTTAGTTGGAGTCGGTTGCAGGTAATTATATATCAGGCGGTACTTCGCGGAAATCCATTCCATTTACACGTGGTAGAGCCATGCTGCAGCTATAGTAGTAGTATAGTTGTACCACGAATGGGTCAGCTCGACCGGGGAAGGACCACGCTCTCACAGAATACCAGCGTAAAATAGCAGCTTAACACTGCTGTGTTTCGTATGGTGAGTGTAGAGAACCGGAGACCCTTTTTACTGGAAAAGAGGCAGTCCATCTTAGTCCTCACGGGTGACAACGCATCTGCATTTTGAGTCTTTATTGAGGATAGATGTAGATGTCTATGGGTCACAGTAACCACGTACCATCAGGTGGACTGTATGCTCGTTTGTCACCCTATCCTATAAAAAAAAACATTCAAGATGTTAATAATTAATTAGCTAAGGTAATGTGTCTTACCTAGTTTGAAGAGCGGTTGTAAGACGCTTCATTTTATTTTATTACACGGATCATTGCTATTTATTTTTTACATCTTTGGTTGCACGCGTCTGCAGTCCGCGTTAACCACGTACCATCAGGTGGCCTGTTAGTTCGTTTGTAACGTTGTTGTTCGTTTGTTTTATAAAAAAATATTTTAAATGTATCAAAAAATATTATATTTACCAACTCAAAGTATTTGTAAGTATTCAGTTTCATTTCAAATAAAATACTGAATTTACTAGAATATGTAAATTCAGTTGGAATGCGTCAGAAACAACATTAGCATAATATCTTTTCAATATTACAAATGGAGCCATAGAATGAAGACAATTTGTTCGTGAGAAAATTGTTTGCGAAAGGCGTTATTGTACTGGAAAATAATAGATACCTCATAAAAGAAGGCGAGTACTGTGAGACCATCGGAATGTTTGACGGCTTCCTGAGCAGTCTTATATTCCTCTTTGAAGAAAACCATATGGAGCTCCATCGGAAAACTGAAATCAAATGCACAGTTAGTATATTAGAATAATGTTGAAACATTTTATTCTGTTTACTGTCGGTGTTACTTTGGGATCCGGTAGCGACGTAAAGAAACCATGACCCTCTAACTTGCATCAACTAAATTAAAAGTGAAACACATAGCCAGATTTAAAGAAATAAAATGGAATAACGGCAAAGATGCAATGGGCCTAATATTACGAACCCAAAGTTGCGCGATTACGGCAAAATCCTTTCCAATTTAAGATTGCTCACAGAGTGTTGATGATAATATTGTTGCGCGCCACCATTAATACCTGGTACATGGTGACACTAATTACCACTACCGCCTTCTAGTATCGAGTTCTTCTAGTATCGTATTGGTGTTTGTGTGATTTTAAGTTATAATTAGTGTTCTGTAATTAAAGTGTCAATTTTGATAATTCACTCGGCAGTTTTAAATTGTCTCGAACCCCAAGGTCGTAACAATATATTAGTGTTTCATCTTCACCATTAGGTTATTATTTCATGCTCACATTATTTTACATTAAATGGAAAGAGATATATTAGACAGTACCACAGAACACATAATAGTACAGGGTACAGAAAATGCACTGTGCAAAATCATTTAAATAAATAACGACTCTAGTTACGACCTCTCTTTCTATGGCGTAACTCTTATCTTTTCTTTACGTAAGGGTTGTCTTCTTTTAAAGAATAATTAATCTGAATATTCTATTACCAGTTATGTGCCTATGACTCTTGGACTTTTTGAAAAATTATGTTTGTATGTAGAAGATTTAAAAAAATTCATTTCCTTATTGCTTAACTTTTACGAATTCATTTTGTTATAGAGTTTAACTTCTTAATGTTTTACGTAATTGTGATATTATAACAATTTTATTTTCAACTTAATAAAAACTGTTATAACATTTAAATTATTAAAGATCCCTTGTTAAATTACGATGAGGTCATTACTTAAAGTATGTCATCAATTTTGTGTTCAGTGAAGGAAAACAAATTGATTGACATGTTATGATTACTAGGATAACAATGTATTCTTTTAATGCGAACGCGTGTGACCCAGCCGGCGCGCGGCAGCAAGGGTATTATAATATATAGTGTTCTGTGGCGGCAATTCTCTGAGTTGGCCCGTTAAGACGAGCTCGCCGTGTACTTGTAGCTTTAAACCTAAACTGCAGAGTGCCCCTGACCTGACCACAGAGTAAAAAATAAGGACCAGAGGGGAAGCTTCCTAACAACGTCGAAAATTACCTATTCTGATAGGGTTATCACCTAATGCATGTGAAAATTTTAAGGAAAAAAGAAATTAAATAGTATAAAACAACATGTGTATTCATTGTAACGTCATTATAATAACATATCTGTTATTTGTAATTAAAATTGAAACTGCAAAAGTTTTATATTTTGCTTATTTTCATGCTTAGCTTCACATTACATATATTTATATTTCTATCAATATGATTTTCGTAAGACAACGTATTCATGAGTACAAAAAATCAGGTGGTAGTAGTAATGACTGTGATGATGGTAGTGGGCAGTGGCGGTGGTTGTGGTGTTGATACACCACCACTACCAATGTCACTACCAGGATGATGGTGGCGGTAGTAAGGGCTGTGGTGGTGATGCTGGTCGTGGTGGTGGTGCCAGTGGTGGTCCACTGTCCACCACCATAACCAATGATACTACCAGCTCCACCACAATCACTCACACCATTACCAGCACGATCAGCAGTACCATCCACCGCCACCAACACCGCACGATCAGCACCACCGTCCACCATCACCATCACCAGCACTACTACCACTAACTGGCTATTGTATTATTTTCCTCGAATTTTTATACATACTGTACAACTTAGGCATTTAGCTTATACGAATACTAATTATCTAATATAAATATATATAAATCTATAATGTCTTATTTTATAGTAAAAAATCTCTAAACTTAACTCTAATTGTAAAAAAAAATGTAAATTTATTGATCTATAAAATTACGCAATATTATTCGTCTATTTATTTCAATGCGCGTGACCAACAGCCCTTTTATTCACACTCCGACTGAGCCGGCGCAAACCGGTTTGTAAATAGTGTTCTGTGGTTTGTACCCCGACGGAGCGTCGGTGAACCTGTCGGTGAGAGCTCACGCACACATCGCTGCGCTATGTATGGGTGTACCCGCAGCGAGCCGTTTGTATTATGGAGTGTAAAGTAGAAGGAGAAGGAGGACCATCTCTGTATATGAAAAGTGTCCCTAAAAACGCGTCCAATAAGGGTGGCGCTGCAGTAGCATAGGATAAATTTAAAAAAAAACGCCAAAATTTATTAGAATAAGATGGAGAAATAAACAAGGACCGACCAATCCGCTTGGTTTTGTACTACGTAAATAGTTGAGGTTTTGTATACTGGCATTTTACTAACTACTCTAGTCATGAAATTTTTTAAATATTTTAATTCAGCTGACTTCACTCCGTCTACAACAGCTATATTCATATCGTAGTTTTTCAGACGCCAGCGCTATTGTGGTAGGTTGTGGAACCTCTATTTTCAGTATATATTGGGACACTTTTTCAACTTTCGCAGCTTATAAGATGGTTCTCCTTCTACTCTACACTCCATAGTTTGTATGTAGCTTCCCCTCTGCTCGGTTTCTTTACTCATGTGGCCTGACAACACATGAGTAAAACCCATACTCTGTGCTGACAGTACCCTATTATTTGGATAGCGCAGCATGCAACGGCAAATCATATGCAGTAAGCTTTACAACTAACCCAAATCTACTTGCAATCTTGCAATGCGCTGTGCTTCATGAAAAAGAAGCGAGACGGAGTTACGCCGACGCAAATTTCATCGAAATGATTAAATCGATCTCATTAGATCCAAATAAAAGCTAAATTACATTTTGAACGCACAACTTGGTTCACAACTCGATTGAATAAGAAGAAATATTTTGCAATCCTAAGGAATTGCTCGATTAAAATTAATTTAAAGGACATTATAAAAACTCGCTTAAGAAGCAACATATATTTGACAACTACCAAAATTCTTATCCTTAATTATGCATTAGATAAAATTCAGTTGATAGTAACGGACACTTCTGAATTGTGAAATCAAAATAAAAAGGACTTTTTAGATATTGAACTTTGTACCTATTTTTTAATACTAATGTGCTGCGTTTATGGGCTCCTGTGATTTTGCCAATCGCACAATACCTTCACTGACATATTTCAAAAGTTGTCATAAACTCAAATATATTATGAAAACGTCAAGGGGGTTATAATACAACCTCCTTGGAAAACGTTAATATTTTAAAAATATACCTCAGATCAATATGTCACAAGGAACTGGGATACATTAAAATCATCCGTTTTCATTTAAAATAACAATATTATTGTACTCTCATTGGCCAAATTAGCATTGTGCCACGCAAAAAAAAACGTCAATAACGTTGACAGATGACAAGACGTTAAAATAGATAGACGTCAGACGTGCGAGCGTTTTCGTTTCGTTTGAAAAAATACATTTCTGCAGATGTTTTCTGAATCTAAGTGCACTGTGCAGTTGGTTTGTTATGCGATAAGTTTACCTAATCACAACCTGAGTTTTATTTACCGCATAAGTGCTAGGCTAAGACTGAATCGCCTACATTAGCAATAACATAGTAATGTTTCATAAAAATAAAACATAACCTCAAAATCTCTATGATAACTGCTAATATCTATGTTTTCAGAAGTGTCCGTCAGGAGTTATTGTTCTTACATACAATTATGTGTAATTTCGGACTTAAAAAGGTTTTTGTTTCACTGTTGTTTCTTAGGCGAACATTGTATGGACGCAGAACAATGTCATTTCTATCATACGTTTGTGCACTAGCTTCGATTTCAGGACTATGAATAGCCTTGAGTTCGAATCAAATTCGATTGATTCACTTGCATTTCCTTTATTAAATAAAAAATTAAATAAAATCCTACAATAAGTATGCTTCCTTAGAAATACAAAATATATCTACTAATGCCCAATTAAAACAACAATGGATTAGCAGCTATTTTTTGCGAATTTAGTATTCATGAATGGGGAACATTTTAAGCCTTTATATTTTTATTCATCTTCATTTTAGTCCATCACAATTCACTGCGACTGATTGGCCGTTTGAGCTTTTCTTATCAAGCTATTCCATTTGTTTAGGGCCGTTCTACTCTGCGTTTGTCGGTAGGTACGATATCTTCATTTTGAATTCTATTACGCAGAATAACTGAGGCTTTTTTCAACTGCCCATGAAAAGAGCTATACTGGGCGACTGAGTTTCCTAAGCTACTCTACACTTGTACCTACGTTTACTTGAGCGTTCCTCATGGTCAAAGTTGGCTTTACCTAATCGGACGGATATGTTCAACAAGTACAAGTTATTTGTTGAACATATTAGTCAATAACTTCAAGTCGAGCGTAGTATTCTCAACAACTACCGATATATTTGTGTGATGATCTTCGTCTTTTCCATATTTAAAAAAGTTTAGACAAATTTGGGAAAATTGAATAATTTGAAAAGGTTTTTAATTTCGTGATTTACTTTTTGCACGAAAACAAAATCGCATACTTATCTAGTAAATTAAAAGTAATCTGTATAAGTGATAATATTACATAATATACAAGGCGATAACAATCAAAGATACATCTTTGCCACTTCTAACGGATGTTGACGACATTAGGATATTTAGATGACGTAAACTGCACGAACAACCACGATATAGGTATCTTCACTCAAAATTCCCATTGTTTTATTGCGAACCAAGAATCTACGACCGTGTGAATCGGCATAATATGTTACAGAAATGTGCAAGACCAAAAATAAGAATAATCCAAAAGATTCACATTTTGTCTTAAAAAAGCGCACATAAAATCTTATCCCGTTTCTATACAGTTATAGGGTTTCGCATCTCGAATAAAAAACGGAAACCTTATAGGATCGCTTTGATATCCGTCCGTCTGTTAAGACCTTTTTTCTTAAGAAGGCGCTCTAAAATCTACTCTAAACTCTAGAGTTAAAATTAATATCAAATACTAAGATTAACAGTGGTAAGTTGAAGGTGTAAAACATTAATGCTGTTAAGTCAACGTAATCAAAATATAAGGCAATTTCTGTCATATATTTTAAAATTCGCAAACTAACTCATCAAAATGTATAGAGTACTTTCCGTTGACCTAGAATCAAGAAATTTGGCAAGAAGCAAGGTCTTACAGCACAAGTTAAAAAAATCCAAAAACGGTTAATTTGTAGTTATATTTTTTTTGCAATTACAAACTTACACTTGGAGTAGGAGCATCAACATTTTCCACTGCAATGTTAAGTTTGTTCTTCAATCCGACTTACCTCTTCGTAAGGATATATTCGGCACATACGAATACCATACTTATAATTAACAAGATGGATGAACATCTACATACAATTTATATGGTACGCTGAGAGTACGAGTCCTATTCGCACTTGTCCGGTTTTTTAATATCTTTACATTTGCTTTTTTAATACCTTTGACCAAATGAGGGACGTTTGACCAAATCAGGGACGTTTGACCAAATCAGGGACGTCTTGAAAAAGGCCAGGTCAAGAGTACCCTAAACCGAAGAGCATGTATGAAGGGAATAATGAAAGTGGACGAAGCGAAACAAGTATGTAAAGATCGTAGGAAGTGGAAAGAAGTGGTCCCTGCCTACCCCTACGGGAAAGAGGCGTGATTATATGTATGTATGTATGTATGTACATTTGCTATGTTCACAGAAGTTTAACATAGACAGAAGCACTCCTGTGTAAATAACTTCGTTATTATAATGGCTACTTATAAATGGTGTTCTGTGGTGGCGGAATCTATTAACCTACTTGGCTTCTTGATCGTTTGTCATTGTTTTTAAATCAATGAAAGAATTTATAAATATTTCGTACCTCCTATGATTGATCTTGTCTTCGGACCCAAAAGTGTCATTATCGCCCCAATGGAAGTGCATTTGACTGAAGATATAGTCTCCGTCGAGTGGTCCTCCGCTGACACGTGGGTGCGGTTCGTTGTCTACCTCGATCAGAACTGAAAAATTATCGTCTTGTCATATGGAAGTGCCGCTTATTTTAAGAGTTTTTGGAAATTAGCTACCTGATATAAGACTACATACAATTACATTACAATGTTTATGTTTATTTATACATGAATGACTTTTTCAGCATCTCTGACTACCCAGTACCGAGTAAAGGTTTTGAACCCCAGACTGATATTTACATGTTTTGTGTTACACAATAAACTTTTTTGTCGGTTTAGATGTTTAATATTTATTCATCATCTCTGATACTGTATAGGATTTTCCGATCTTATCAAATACAAGTTACACAGGGAGGGTATACAGACAGTATACAACCTATTCTTATGTCAGTACACCAAACCAAATGGACAAGAAAACTTTTAACTACATACTTGTGAGCGTAAAATACGAAAATTACTCAGACATTGCCAATCCGTCTGCCAAGCGCGTTGATAAAGCGAATTTTCTACAACGAGAGAAGCTCATGTCAAGCAATGGACTTCTACAAGCTAATAAAGAAGATGAAGAATATTCAGACACTAAAACCTTACTTTTGTTATAAATGTTTGATGTTGCAGACTGTTTGTGTACATAATAAATTAAGAAAATTATAGTACGTTATGAGATAAAATATCAAGTCACGATTATTGACTGAATTAGGAGTTTAATTAACTCGGGAACCGCAATGTACTCTTTTTTTATATAAACGTTACCCCCATACTAGGATTTTCTCCTGTGTCGTGGAGGCAGTTTACAAACATAAATTGCACTAGGACAAACATTCAGACCCAAAACAATTATTTGTAGGCCATACAAATACTTGTTCCGTGCGGGATTCGAACCCGCGGCCCCCAGCGCAACAACTCATTGCTAAGCCACTGCGCCACAGAGCCGTACTATGAAGATGTTCCAAACATGCAGCCACGCAGTCATAAAATAGGTAAGCAGTTGTATTCTATAATAAATTAAATCTAAATTTACTTCCAATATACTTAATTTACGTCAATAATCCTTACCTGTGTGTCCATTGTTGGTAACGTGCACATCGTCGATAGAGTCATCAAAACCCACGAATGAGATGTCAGGCAAAGCTACTTGTTTGACCCGTAGTATGTTTATGTCTATGGGACTTTGATGTTTACCTCTGCACTCCTGGTACCGCTCACCCCAGTATGTTGGCCCTGCCATTCATATTATTACATTATTCATTATTATGTTAGGAACAGTTAACATTTAAGAATCAGTAGGTTGGCGTTACCGTTACAGTCTATTAAAGTCCACTGCTAAACATAGGAATTCCTCATAGATTGCCTCATAGGAGGGATATTTTCCACAGTTACTATGCTTTGCAAGCGGATTGCAAACCACTTTTTTTTATTTCTAGTCGTTTTTAGGAAGACGCTGCTGCCAATCTCCTGATTTGTTTCCGTGTGTCGTCTCTTACGACACCCTAATATGGAATAGTGGCTATTCTCACACCGCCACAACACCGTTAGAATCAGTCGTTCCCCATAAATTTGCCAGCAGAACTTTTTGTATAAAGTTTAAGTTTCAATTTTATTCGGTATTTTGATAAATACTTTAACACATACATTATAGTTACAAAAAACGGCTTTCTTATATTTACTATACTAAAGAGAGATTCTATAAATTATAAACACAATACACGTACTGTGTTGTGGCGCTATAAGAGAATATATTATCCCATTTCTTTTCATGAGTGTTGTAAGAGGTTACTGTGGGAAATGTCCGAAAGATCTTATGTCTTCCGATAGATGGCGGGGTAACCATTTCTTTGCGTCAGGCGTAAATAAAGCACACCAACATCAGGAGCAATATCAAAGGTGTGAATCGTAATGTATAGCAAACGTCAATCTGCCTGGTAGGCCGAATGATTAAGGCAAATCCTCTTTACTAAGGATCAGAAATGGAGAAATGTTGAGCAATGGACTTCTACTGAAGCTGATGAAGAAGAATAAAAAATGATACACACGTACGAAGTTGTGTCTCGCCAGAAACGCAAAGTCGGGAATTAGCATTTGGAAAAATCTAAAATTAGGGGCTTTTTAGGTGCTAATTAGGTGCCAAGTTTAAAAATTAGGTGCTTAAACATTTTCACCGCAACGAACGATTGAAATTTGCGTTGCTGGCAAAACGTATCGCTAGCAACGCAATGAAGTTATTAGATATAGGATAAATATTAATAACAAGGAATTAAGTCCTAATTAAGTGCTGCAATTATAGGCGATGACAAGACGTCCCTAATAAAAATAAAGTCGTTATTCAAAATTTCGTTGCGGTGAAAATTTTAGAGCACCTAATCTTTAAACTTGGCATTAGCACCTAAAAAGCCCCTAATTTTGGGTTTTTCTAAATGCAAATTCCTGATTTTGCGTTGCTGGCAATACACAACTCACGTACGATAGGATCGTATACTGCAAGGTAATACTTCTTGTACTATTATTTATTCTAAATAATAGTACAAGAAGTATTTTTGCGATGTGGTAATACGCCAAAGCGGGATACGTTATTATTGATGTTAGCAACACACTGATGACCAGATAAATAGTGTTCATAGTCGTGATCATCGGTTTTAAATATATAATTCAGCTTGTGGCCGTTGTGAGAGCACCACAGCTAGAATCTGTTAAAATATTAAAATCAGTAATCTGTACAAATATTTAAAAAAAAGCATTTAATGAATCTCAAAAACTTTTAATAAAATAAATTATTGTTGTGACCTGTGTCTGCTATGTATTAGAACAACACGGCCACCACGCACAACCCATAGCGTTGCTCTAAGTATCATTAGGCACTTATAATTATAAGACAATTTCTAAACCTAAAACTAAATCAACTTTTAAATAATTCCTCCGTAATACTGAGATGATTAAAGTAAACTACAGAGTACGAAGTAGCAATCAGTACTACAAGATACAAGCCATCATTTGCTTCCTACGTTTATGTCAATTTGCAAGTGAAAAACAAGTTAGATTGCCTCGTTGCTGGATGGTGGTAAGGTCCTTATCTCTAGACACTATAGTGACCATAATAGAGTAGACTGTCGACTTTCCCTTTATTGCGAATGAATGGTTGAATCAAGAGAATTGTAAAAGATATGCTAGAGTTCTATTGAGAAGGAAAAGCAAAATTGCGTTAGATTTGAGACACGCATTCATAAACTCGTAGGTACATGAATCGCAACAACTGTCTTTGTGTCCACTAGCACGCGCGGAACGTTTGCCCATATATCACCAGTCTGTTGAATTTGGGTTCGGTGTTTGGATGGATTTTTCACCATCAGTCAGTCGCCAGAGCCTCGCCGTCAATGTGGAGTTTTTTAAACAAGTAAGGGTGACGAACGACCTTAAAACCCAGCAGCTTCCTGGCAAATGGAATGCCTCTTAACCAATAAGAAGAGTCTCTGGTTCGTGTCACTTACTATACAAAACAGAAGGATTATTCTGCGATTTCACGCTGGTATTCTGGGCGACCGTGATCAATTCCGAGTTGAGCAAAATTCATCTTGCAGCCATAATATGCTGCAGTTTAACTCTACCACGTATAAAGTGACTCTTGAAGCAAAAGTGAATATATTTTCTCAATCGCAATCATTCATATTTAATAACATATAAAGCTTCTCTACGGCAGTGCAGCTATCTGCTTTTGCCTTCCATCACTTATCCTTTAGTTCACAAACCTTAGCACTAAGTTGTGTTGAGCTTCCTTTTTGCTCTGCGAATCCGTTGACTTGCCACAAGGCCATTGCCATAAGCCATAAGGCTGGGTAAAGCATGCGTTAATACTACTTTCACAATAATGTGCATTCAGTAAACGTAATTAAATGATATTTATTGAGCTTACTTACAGTATGAAAACAATATATTCAATGTAATAATCCGGCTGGTGATAACGATATAATTCAATTAATTAAGATATAAAAGTTTAACAATATCGGGCTATTTTCTATTCGCAAATTCATAATTATTTATATGAATCCATTATTATGAATATTTTTCACTAGTTCTGACTCTATGCACAAAAGAGCAAAGGCGTTTATTTTTTTTGGCTTAAGGTAAATCTTAAATAATTTTACACCCGTTTTAAGCAATAAAAGCTTCTCCCACCCGAACAATTTGTCGTTGGTGTACATATAGCCATGCGAATTTCTATATAAAGTTTGAATAAACCTTTTGCGAATTCTGTTTTGAACGAGGATAGACTTTTCAATGATTCAGAATATAATTTCACCAAAATTCTTCCAGAAGAAAGGTGGCATTGAGAATGTAAGCATTTTCGAACTAAGTCAGTCTCTAACACATTTCTTCTAAGAAAAGGGCTTTTCCCGTAAGGGTTGATGACGACAATTCACTCATTTTGGTCAAAAATGTAAACTTTTCATTAAACTTGTTCCTCCCGTTTCTCTAATTCGGATATGATTCCATCAATGTGGATGAGAAATGTGTCCTGAAATACCCTGAAAGTATCACTCATACCTTCTTTCAATGTCTTGATCGGGTGTTTCCTCGTATTTTTTTTCCTTTTCTGTTGTCTTTACCCCCATGTCTTTTGTATACCGCTTCGGAGCAGTACACTTAATTCCATCGCATTTTCTTCGAAATACTAAAATGTTTCTCGTTCAGCTATGAGAACTTGCAAAGAGATTTGTAACAGTCCTAAGTTTTAAGGACTTCATGTCAAGAATCTCTCAAACTTGAACATGCGCCCTCTCTAGCTGACCATCGTGTCAAATTTATTCTCTTTAGCGTTTTTCCTTTTCCTACTTCAGTCATTAATTTTAGCGAGCGTTTTGTCGAACTTACAAAAATAAAACCTAGTTTTCTTGAAGTAACATGAAGAAGCGAAAACCCTCTGTGCAAGATTCAGCAGCCGCAGTTGCCACTAAATTTAAAGAGTGGGCAAAGCAAGGAACGAAAAAAGCGAAAGGGGCTTGGCTTTGAATTTTTGCCTGTAGGCCATTGTACGCACCAAATATGTTCGCGGCATTATCTGATTGTCCACGAGTCTTCATATGATTGTCAATATTTATGACCAGTGTTTTGAGTTCCGAAATAATGACAGAAAACATTTCTTCAGCTTAATACTCCACTGAGGGCAAAAATTTAAGAAATCTTTCACTCGGTCCGTCTGTTTTCAAAACGTATTTAATGAGTAAGTCGGTCCACATGTGCTATATCTGGTGTTGAATCGATGATTAAGGAAAAATATTTCGCATTTCTTATCTCGTCTCCAATCTGTTTCAAGACTTCATGACCCATCAAAAGAATAAACTTAAGGCAAACTGTCTTTGGTAAGGAACTAGTACTTCCAGAACTTTGATTCCCAAATCATTCAATTATGACTGGCTAAAAAAGAATCAAATTCAGCAGTTCCAAAATCATACAATAATTTTCGTTATGCAGATTACTGAACCTTTAATTCTTTCCTCTGAAAATGAGGTCTCTTAAAATCAGTCGATTTATTACGGCAACAAAGAATGTTACTGAAAAAAGTTATTAAAAAAAGTAAATTTCTTCAACAGTCTGGACATGCAGTACATCGTCGTGTAGGCCATCAATCTCATTTCTAAATTTCAATTTTAAAAAAATCCATTAATCTTTATGACGCGCAGAGTTTTCATGCTGAGCTACCCGGTATTCTGCATTTTTCGAATCATTAAATCCTTCGTTCTCAAACTGAGAAATGAGTGTTCGAATGTCAAAGAAGACTTGCAATATGCAGATTCTTTTACTTTAGAATAAACCTGCCAATTTCGGTCATTATTTTTAATTTTTCTTTGGAATATACTAACTGGCATGAAGCGATGATGATCAGCATATATTTTTCCACTTTTAGAAAAGTCACAAGACTTGCTTTGATCGAAGCCGTATCTTGCGATAATCTCCCTTATCGTATCGCATCTTATTTCCTATAAAGCTGGATCTTTGTTTAGATTTACTATAGTTTGCCCTTGGACATTACATAACATCTGATTCTGAGATGCATCTTCAATTTTCATATTTATTGATGATTCCGCCTCTTGGTCAATAACATAAATATCAGTTTTTTCAAAAGTAGATTGCTCAACAGATAACTTGTTGTTGTTGGGCCGCAGAGATCAAATCCGTTTCATCTTTTCCAGATTGTATTGTGTCAGTGCATGTTGTTGAAGTTCCTGGCCTTTCTTCTTTACTTCCACTTCCACTTTTTAAAAAAAACTGTAAATTTTTATCGGTTTACGGATAATCTTTGCTTGTTATTATTTTTAAATGTTGGCCTTCTTTTTATACTCAATTACACTAAGTCGTTTTCATCACTCATTCTAACTAATATTTATTCAAGAACTGAAATAAAAAAGACTATATAGGAGGAGGTATAAAGTCAATTCGGCATTTCAGTCAGACACACACGTGTGTCTGTACAGTTGTAGCGAATGGTCAAGCCACCAAACGCAACTACGCAAAATGTAGAAAAATATTTTTTTATGTGGACCTAATAACAGTTTGGTATATAAATATGAATTTCTGGAAGACATCAAAAAAATTGGCCCCAAATTGGCAGCCCAAGGCTCCCGCCTACTCAGCCTGCTGGTAAATCCGCCACTGAGTGACGACCTGATGAAACATGCTGGGAGTCGATGGCTTAGAGCCGGACTTTGTGGCAATTTATGGGTGAAGCCTATGTTTAGTAATGTACTTATGATGATGATAATGACCCATCATGCATACATGTATGCACGGGTCATTACCACATATATACATATTGCAAAAACATAACAAACAATACCGCAAATTAATACCTTAATTCGTTGACTTTTACTAAATAACTATAATATCAATTTCATAAAAACAAAAAAAAATTGTCTAAGTGAAAGATTTTGGATTTTATGGATGTCTCTTAATAGTAATGCGAGCCGACTATAGTTTACTAATTTAAGACGTTTGAACTGTCCGATTAGAATCGACCAACTTCATGGCATACAAATTTTGATTGGAACCTATCAAAAACTGCTCATAATATATCATAGTCTGATGCTGCAATTGTCAATCTATTTGCCAAACATAGCCATTATATGTATTAACATTGAACTGTTTATGGGATGAAGAAGAATATATGTGGATTACCTAAAAAATTGATTGAATGAAATAAAACTGTCACCCCGTGACACAGCTAGATACATTTATATTGTAATTGAACAACGTGTTGGTACCGAGCCATGCTGACGACCTTTTGGCAACGCATTAATAGGAAGTAGCTCTTCAATCAAACGCACGTATGATCTATTTATAATGACATGGACTTAAAATATTTAATAGCTCTTTTCAAGCAAGCTTCCATTGCTTTATCTGCTTGATTATGAAAAAAAAATTATACTTTACTGTACATCTTTATAAAAAAAGGATTACAAAGGGCCGGACTTAATGCCTTTTGGTATTCTCTCCCAGTTAAGGTTGGTCAAGATCGGACCAAATTAACTTTAATAGTCCGAAAACCAGTATCTCGCGCTTTTTCTAAGCACCTACAATCATAATTCTATCTCTTTTAGTTCTGGTAGATTTACTAATGCATACGGTCGGATCTATCGAGGTTTTAAGATTTATATCGCGGATAAAGCCATTATAAGAACTATAGTATTTATGCTCAAACTTTTAGTATAATTAGAAGGTCGAACATTGACTTCAGTTTTTATGCTTTTAAATTATTTTACGCGTAAGGCTATTTTGTCATTCGACTTTATTCTACAAGGATTGTTGGTAAATATTATACGTATTGTTAGATATAATCTACCTTGAGATATACTGTTATGCCTCGAAAAGTTTATTTGTTCGGTTCGGTCCACAAACAAACTGAGATCTTATGCCTTTGAAAAGTTTGAAACAGAAAAACAGAATTGCACATAGTCCAGGTAGCCGTAGGTATTTCGTTTAATTCTCAAACGAAATATTTCGTCTACTGTTTTATAAATATTTAATCCAATATACATATACATCAAATATTTAATCCAAAGACAATATAAGTACTTCATATATTGTTTTATTTTACGTCTGAATTTTTTTGATTTAGTAAATGTAAAGAAAACAACCATACATAGTTTTACACTACAACAGCTCATACAGATTAGGCCCTCTTTTAATTTTGAGAGGTTAAATAAATAAATTATGGAGCAGTTTGCTGACATTTGCTGGATTACTGCACTGCCGAAGTTCAGAATGTCAAATATAACGTTCACGATCATTTCTTATCAAGCACCTTAATCGGCCAATCACTACACTTAATTAAATTTAAATTGTGCGAGCACAGAAGTCGGAATATGTTTAAACTAACATCCACTCAAGATGCTACTCGTAGAGGGTTGTATAATAGTAGAAATAATATTTATACAAAAGTTCCTTGTCGCTGTTACTAAATCTGCTACTTATTTTAAACGCAATACAAGCTTTAAACAGTTAAGGAGGACAACGTAAAATCCTCTTCTCTACCATACCTTTTGTCAATTCAACTGACAGTGTCTTTGGACGAATCACTAAGAGTTTATAATAATATGTTTAAACATACCTCTGACTCCGTCGTAGCCAAAATCTTCAGCATTTATAAAATGGAACGCTGAAACAAAAACATTAAATTATTATTAGCTTTATGAAACATCTGTAAAGATAAATACTTAAATACATTTTATTATTCTTATTCATTCATTTGTGGCGACGCCGTAAGCACAGTAGCCTAAATCACGCTATCAAAATTCTGAAGCTAACGCGGTATATATAGAACAGCTCCGAAATAACACACGGAACGTTGGCTTCTCCTTGGGCAGAACACCTTGCCTGGAGGGAGATCTTTACTTTTTCTTCCATGGCCAAACTGGAGATCAAGACGTGATGTAAACACTGTTGGTAACGTATTTACATCACGTCTTGGTCACCAGTTTCTCGGAAACCTCAACTTGAAGCTTTCGTCATCGTCCTCAAGTATCCCATCCATTTGCTCTTTCTGCAGTCTTCACATTCTGCAAGCCATCTAGCTTTACAAGCACTCCAGTGCTGCGATGAAACTTGTAAAGCTAACAGGAAGCATTATTCCAATAATGCTTCCTGTTCCTTCAAGCTACTCTCTGCACTATAGTGCTCGGCATGAGTTTGAGCCTTACTTTTCACCTCTACTTCACGGCACTCTCGCAGATTACTTGCCTTCTTTTGGCTCACCGCAGGCTATAAGACACTTCCCTGGCACTTGCATATTCGTGGACATCTGGACGGCACTATCGACATCTAGACTGCACTATCGACATTTAGACTGCCCTATCGACATCTAAACTGCACTATCGACATCTAGACTGCACTATCGACATCTGTACTGCACTATCGACCTGCAGTCTGAACAAAGGGGGGTGATGTGGCGGCGCCGTAAGCGAAACGAACCGAAGCCTAAATCGCGCTGTCAAAGTTCTGAAGTTCCGGAGAGAGATCAGGCGCTGTACCAACGGCTTGTGCTTTTCGAGGCGCAGAGGTGAGCCACCGCAAACTTCCTGACTCCCGGCAGCTACTGAGATTTTTTTGTTGGAAAAACTCAATAACTGATTTTTTAACCCGACCCGGGATTCGAACCCTCGACCGCGCTGTAAATAGAACAGCTCCGAAACATCACACGGAGCGTTGAGCGCTCCGCGTTTTCCTTTTGCTTCCACGTGGTGGTTGCTGTAACCCATAGACATCTACGTTTATCGTCAATAAAGAATTAAAATTCAGATGCGTCGTCACTCGTGAGACAAATATGGAATGCCCCTTTTCCAGTAAAATAGGTCTCCGGTTCTCTACACTCGGCATACGAAACACAGCAGTGTGAAGCTGCGATTTTACGCTGGTATTCTGTGAGAGCGTGGTCCTTCTCCTGTCGAGCCGACCCATTCGTACTACAGCTATACTACTAATATAGCTGCAGCATGGCTCTACCACGTATAAAAATTGAATTGTTATAAGGAAGATGCTGCCGCCCGTCTCCTGTTTCAGTTTCCCGCTTTCGCCTCTTACAACACATACTAGATGATATGGGGTATAGTTATTCTATTTCACGATGAAGTTTTAACTTTGGTTGTTGTTAACCGTGCATACACACATTGTGTTAGTGTGCGTAGGCTACGGGCGCTTCATCGTGAAATAGAACAAAAATATACTAGCGGATTCTCTTACTGCGCCACTACCCACTACACTTAGATTTTTACAGTATGCTCTATCAATTAATACTGGTAATATCTCTACAACAAAGCACGAAAACAATATTAAAGGGATCATTACAAATCAATATGAAAACACAAATAAATATGACACACACACACACACAAACACACACACACACACACACACACACACACACACACACACACACACACACACACACACACACACACACGCACACACTAACACACACACACACACACACACACACACACACACACACACACACACACACACACATTCATGTATATTTATATATGTATACGTATATGCTTTTATATAACATTTTGATTATATACTTCAATTTTAAACATATTGCAATATGCTTTTTATTGTTATTTACATCTAAGAAATCTTATATTCGATCTTCACAGGCAACGCTCACTTCATGTCTAGGTATATATTCATCGAATTGTAACAAAGCCAAGAGGGGGAGCCAGGAGACCCATAGCACAGGGTTACCTAGTTTGGGCTCCTGTCTCCCACAACAACTTAAAACTCTTAAACTATTTATGTAAGAAATGAAACATAACAAATATAAAAAGTGGGAGAAATAAATAAAATATTATTATTATTAATATTATTATTCAATTGCACGCCTCATAACGCGTGAGCGTGTGGGAGTTCTCTACTCTGAACATGCCGCTAGTGACGATTTTGCAATATAAAATTGTTAGTATGTCTCAATTTAAACACTAAATCAATAAAAAGGGATGTTTTGAAAACTAGATATATTAAATAATAAAGTCAGCGTATTTTTTTTGTTATATTTACAAAGAAATATAGCTAAAACAATTATTTGTACGGCTGTCAGTTAGTCTGTGCACTTGTTTGTCTTCATGTGTCAGAAAAATATAGGTACGCAAAGAAATGAAATAATTCTTTCTGAATAAGTTTCCATTTATCCTCAGAATGATCTCTATTGCTGGTTGTTATCACGATTAAAAGAAAATTTTTTTTCAAAATTTCTTTTAACTTTGATGATGAAAATAAAAACGCTCCTGAGGCGTGCACTTTTGGATTTTGCAATTTTTGCTATAAATATGCTGTGGTAGAGTCTCACAGATAAACGTGAAGGGTATGAGATTAAAAATGTCATACCCTTCACGTTTATCTGTATTGCATAAACTTTATGGAGAATATTTGTGTTAAAATTGCCGTAATCACACGTGTACTGCACTTAGTCATAACTACACACGTGTCGCACTTCCCTTCCCTTTGTGTATAGTTTTAATAGAGGAAAATTATCATCATCAAGCTATGTGCTGTCGAGTATGGCATTTATAATGAAAAATTAAAACGCTATACCTACTTTTAGACTTCTTTATAGTAACATCTTTATTTGACACTCAAATTTTACGATAATACCAACAATTATTGACTTCAGGAGTACAAGAGTGAACCAGGAGTCAATTACTTTTCATTCCAAAATTTGTGTTATTTTAACTTACATTTGCACCTCTGTAATCTGTAAATTAAATGTTATAGGTTCTAAACCTCGAAATCATTATTTAGACCATCTTTCCAAATCTGTAATTTTTTTTTTAATTCTAAACAATTTATAGACTAGCTCATATACTTCAAGTACCACTCGAAACCCACCGTGACCCGTTCGCTGTTCCCAATCTTTGACTATTACTTGGCTCAATCAATTAAATCTCGGCTCTCTTATATTTATAATTGTAATATATAAAAAATATATATAAAAAATAATATTTTTATAATTGTATATATATATATATATATAATCATAATATATGTCTCAAACAATTGACAAATAACTATAACATTATAAAAATGAGTTACTTCAATAGTCCTAATATCTACTTTCCAATAAGCTAGCTGGCAAGTGTGGTAAGATCCGGCCATACTCACCTTGTAGATATGATGGATTGAGAGTGGATAGTTGTTTACCTCACACACTAGTATTGCGGCCTCCTATCACCAGTCTGTGCAATTTGGATTTTGCATTTTTGAGCGGTCCTTGACAAGCAGAAGTGGCAATGGGCCGGCTATTTAGTTCGAAAGAGATCAATGGATAGGGAATAAAGGTTGTCGAGTGACAGGCTCGTACCGGTAAGGTAGTATAGGACTGCACCTCACTAGATGGAGTGACAACCTGGCAAGAAATACAAGAAGTCATGCAATATTTTTACATTTTTCTCTCATCAAACTCAGTTCATAGCTGGAAACAGACCTTTCCAACTAGCATCTTTGATCGGGTTTGGCACAAAGCGCTTCTTTCAAAGCTGCCTTCCTATGGGCTTCCCGAGAAATTGTGCAATTGGATCACCAGCTTTCTTGCAGATCGGAGCATCAAGGTCGTTGTAGACGGTGCATGTTCTGACTACAAGCCTATTAACGCTGGTGTTCCACAAGGCTGTGTGCTATCACCAACGCTGTTTCTTCTGCATATCAATGATATGTTGCTAACTGGTAACATTCATTGCTATGCGGATGACAGCACTGGTGATGCTCTATACACCGGCCGGGCCAATATTTCTCGGGAAAACGTCGCCGAGTACCGGAACAAACTTGTGTCTGAAGTCGAGTCTTTGCTGGACAAAGTCTCGGATTGGGGGCGACTAAATCTAGTCCAGTTTAATCCTCAGAAGACACAAGTTTGCGCGTTTACCGCTAAAAAGAACCCCTTTGTCGTATCTCCTCAGTTTCAAGGCACTCCCCTTCTTGCCTCAGCCAGTATCGGTATCCTCGGAGTCGACATATCGAGTGACGTGCAGTTTCGTGGTCACTTGGAAGAGAAGGCCAAATTGGCCTCTAAAAAGCTTGGCGTGCTCAGCAGAGCGGGACAGTATTTCATGCCGGCACACCGCCTGCAACTTTACAAGGCGCAGGTTCGGCCTCACATGGAATACTGTTCCCATCTCTGGGCAGGGGCTCCCCAGTGCCAGCTCCTTCCACTTGACCGCATCCAGCGCAGAGCGGCTCGAATCGTCGACGACCGAGCCCTTTCCGATCGGCTCGATTCATTGGCACTGCGAAGAGATGTTGCATCTCTTTGCATTTTCTTTCGCATCTACCATGGGGAGTGCTCTGAGGAATTGTTCGGATTAATCCCAGCCGCCAAATTTCACGAACGCACATCGCGGCAGAACTCCCCATAACATCCACACCATCTGGATGATTGACGGTCCACCACTGTGCGATTTAGAAGATGTTTTCTTCCTCGCACAACTTCCTTGTGGAATAGTTTACCACCAGGGATTTTTCCGGACCGATACGACTTAGGGACCTTCAAGAAAAGAGCCTACTCCTTTTTAAAAGGCCGGCAACGCATCTGCAATTCCCCTGGTGTTGCGGTTGTTCATGGGCGGCGGTAGTCACTTACCATCAGGTGAGCCGCATGCTCGTTTG